TAGTGTGCCAAAAGAAAAATAAAAAGAAAGGCCTATAATGTCACACTTTAAAATGAATATCTCATTTGATTTAGGATCCTAGTTCTAACGGTAATTTGAGACAAGTTATTAAAAGATGTAAACAGAAATGTTCCCAGCATGTTCTCTGAAGCAAGGGAAGATTGAGTTGATTTTAATTATAGAATCGCAGTTAGTTTTATATGACTTTCTCACACACAGACACACGAAGTCTGTACTCCTTGCCTGATCTCTTCTCTTGTTTTATAATAAATGATTAGTTTCCTTCCCAGGAAAACACAAAGTGGGTCATCCACAAAGTCTGTGATCTTCTCCTGGAAGGAAGCCACTGTCAGTCCCGGGACGCCAGTATATCCAACACCACTGTGCCATGGAAGTTCCAGTGTTCTCCTGCGCTCCTCCCGCCTCCTACCTCCCAGTACCTCCGCGGGAAGGACACATCTGTGAATCCTCTGGCGTGACTTCAATTCCTTACAGCTGTACAAACCACTGCATGGAAAGAAAAGAACATTTCCTAGACTGGGAATCCCCAGACACTTTCCCAAACCGAACAAGTGAACAGAGTTTTTGCTCTGGTGAATTATATCCCATTAAGGAGAGCAGAGAGAGGAAAACAGTCCTGAGACCATTGTGGTCTATAAATGCCTGGGCTTTACTGCAGTTCACAGCCATTTTTCCTGACTTCTCTGAAATGTGGGCCGCCCCGACTTCAGAGCCCTGCTGTACTGGCAAGTTAGGCCTTCTTGTAACTATTTTATCTGGGATTTGGGTCTGCATTCGGGAGAAAGCCCATTGCCAATGTTTCACACACAGCGATGTGGTCTTCTCTTTCCTGGGTTTGACCCACACAGCCCAGCCCACCTCCAGCTTCTCCCTGCCCAAGGCTGCCCGAAGCTTCTCATCAGTGTGGCCCAAGACAGCAAGTGGGGAGCAGATTTGATGCTGGTTGCCGAGGATCTCGAGGGAGCCTTTGGCTGGGGGGGGGGGGGGGGGGGGCATCTGCCTATTCCTCCTGGATGTCTCAGCTGGCATCCGGAACATGAATAGAGAAGGCAACATGAGGCATGAGGCCGGGAAAGTAAGGTGAACATGAGAAAGGAGAAGAGAGGCATGAACATACTCGACAGATTCCCCTCGGAGGAGCCCGTGCATGAATCCAAATAGAATTCAAAGGACTTCACATCAATTTTTACACAGTACACTACCTCCCTAGCTACTAGAAATTTCTCTGTAACATACCAGTGAAGAAGAATGCAAAAAATTATTGAAGGAAATTATCTAATTTAAGGACAAGTCATTCAGCAACTCCAGGACTTTAGATGCATTATCAATGCAGCCAGCTAAAATTTTTATGTGATTTGTAATTAAATTATCTTGCACCTAAACATATTCAATTACTGAATTAAACCAAATTATGCTGATCACAAAGATTAAATTAATATTCAATTAAATATTACATTTTTATGCCAAATGAGGCCATGTTGGGTAGAACTGATTTGTGAAGAAAATTAGCAAAACCGAAAAAGTTTCCCAAAAGAGAAAACAAAAATCTTGGCTAATTTCTCATTCATTTACCAAGTTTTTCAAGTTTTTAGACAATAGACAGTTTACTATTTAAAATGTTGAACTAGATAAAAGACCAAAATAAGAGTTTTAAATCCTAGACATCTCAAAAATAAACTCTACAGAGAAATTAGAATTATGACTTTCACCTTGTAAGAATAGTAATCTCCTATTTATAACAGAATTTGCCCTGTGGAATTTATCACATGATTAAGAAAACCCAAAAAAGGTAACATTTCCTCAGAGAAGTATCTTCTTTGTTCTCTCCCTTCTCCCTGTCATAAATACAGTGGTGCTGGGAAGGCTGCATTTGTATGCTATGGTGACCTTATTCTTTGTCCTTACAGGAAATACTCATATTTCTTTGGAAGGTGAAGGGAAAATGCAAGGAATCAAGTTCATACACAATTTATGTATACGACTTTTCATATCAAGGCAAATCCTTGATTCATAAATAAGATCACAGCTACAGTCATGTCTATGTTTTCAGATTCATCTTAGAAATTTCGCCAATGACATCAACTATACAGGCAAAAATTTACATGGGTGAAATATCATATGATTACCACTTTCTTCTTTATTCACTTTAACATTATTTGTCATGAACATGTATTACTCTTGTAAGACAAAAAACACGTTTTTAAAAGGGATCGCAATGGACTCTTGTCTTCTACTATCTCGCTCAGTGTCACCAATGAGAAACAGTTCATTTTTAAATTGTTCCACGGATTTATCAGTGAGAATCTATCTAATCCGTTCTCCATGATAAGAGCAGGAGAAGATATGGCCAATCAGAAAGAGCAGTGGCAGAGCTGGGGACAAGATTCTCCGGGGGAAGGAAGGGACACAGGACAAGAGCCACTATGCCAGCATGAGCCGTCTGCCAAGTACAACATGGCACTGCCCGTTGACCTCAGTCCTTGGAGGAGCTAGCCCACCAGGCAGTTACTGTCATACCCATTCTACAGGTGAAGAATCTGAAGCTCAGCTAGCCACCAGGGCCACACAGCTAGAGAGCGGCAGAGTAGAGATGAGGTCCAACTTGGTATCACCCAACACATTCTCTGTCCACTGCTTCCTAAAGCCTCTCTAAGGTTTGGTCCTCATGGGAGATCCCCCGGAAACAAAACTGCCTTTCCATGTGGACCTTGTTCGTTTTCTTTTTCCTGCCACACGGATGCTTGAAAGAAAGGAAGAAACCCCGGATCTGCCCAACATTGGCCCCCCTCACTTGAAAATGCACGAAGACACACTCTTGGTTGGGGCATGAGATCATCAGCAGGATGTGTGACAGGCAGGATCACCCAGCTCCATTCTCTTGAGCTCCCCGGCCTCTGCTGGGAAGGAGTGGCTGGCCACGGGAGGGTGCTCTGCCACCACCCCACGCGCAGCGGAACATGAGCTCACCTCCCACCACATCCCGTGCTCCAGTCCTCATGGCAAAGGTCCCGGGAGCATTCTCATAAACTCCCCAGACTCTGCACATCAAGCCCCTAACACAAACAAGCACCCCCACTGCGCTGCTGTAGAGGCTGCAGCAACTTCCAAGGGCAGAAGGGGGGCATCTGCCTGGCCACCTCACAATTCCGCTTCTCTCTGTTCTTGTCTGTGTCATTTCTCACGACTTCTGCCAAGGTGCTCATCAGATTGCTGTTTGCAGTCCAGGGATCATAATAGGAAATAAATCGCCACAGGGAAAAGAAACAGAAATTTGCAAAAAGGGACTAATCTCTGCAGGCCTGCTCTCCAATTTCTGTTTTCAACACACTCCTCTGAAATGGGACAAAAATCAAAGGTGTAGGCTGCTGGGGCCCTGGGAGAAGCACAGCCTTTCCTTTCTATGTTAGACAGAGAAGGGTCTAATCCAAACCTGCAAATGGGGCAGAGGAGCTTCCAAACGAGTCTTTATACTTGTTCATCATTTAATTTAATTGATAGAAGAAACCACAGCAGCCATCAATTAATTACAGAGCACTTGCTATGCACATGCACTGACGTTCATAATCTCACTAAATCTGAATTACAACTCTCTAAGGTGGGTTCTTTTATTATCCCCACTCCACAGATAAGCAAACTAAGGTTTAGTGACCTTAAATAATTGTTCAGGGTTGTAAAGCTGGGCTGGATTTTTAGCCCCGGAAGACCACAAAGCTCTTACTTGCTATGCTCTACTGCTTTCCCTCAGACCTTCAAGTGATGGGTATTCAGATCCCAAATGAAGCCTGGTTTGTTTGTCTAGCTGTTTAACTCACTCCAAAGTCTTACATTAAGATCTTTCAATTTCAATAGACAAGGGTGGGGTCAACCTAGGGGGTGGTACAGGAAGGAGGAAGAAGGGAACCCAGAGAATTCAAATTTATAACAGGAAAATGGCTTAAAAGAGCTAACCGTAGGAGTTGGAGCCAAATGGTTTGGCAGACGCAGCCATGTTCAGGGTGCGTGATGACAGGGACAGTCCTTTTTCCACTCCACTTTGAGCTGTCTTTATAGAACTTTATCTTTTATGTCCAAAGATCAAATAAAAAAAGATCACATTTAACAAGAACTAGGGGAAATAAACTGGTGGCAATTAAAGAGTAAAAATAACTTCTCTGTGGCTTCAGACCACAGGAGCTTTCTCATTTTAAGAGGCACAGGCAAATCACTTCAACAAGGCCTTTTGGGCTGCGTCGTCTCATGTTTCCTCCCACATCCATGGTGGTTAAAGTTATAGACAGTCATAGTTCTTGAACCTGTGGAATTGTGTAATAAATGGAAGTACAACCCGGCCAGACTCATCAACTCACAAGTGCAACCTTGCAGCATGGAAGAAAAGGTTATGGAACCCATATTCTCAATGAGAGACTTTCCTTCTTTAATCTTTGAGCCTTCTTTCTACTCCACCCTGACTTTGGATGCAAAGTCTGAGAGTTGGCCAACACCCAAGGAATTCTCATTTCACTGCCTTGTTTTCCACTTGCAGATTTGTTGGGGCTAGACAGTGAGGCAGACCTGAACTCTTCCTCAGGCCTCAAATAACCAGGCTCACTCGAACATCCAAAGGCAGCCAGAGTTATTTGAGATTCCCACCTCTGCTCTATACCACCACCGTGTAGGCAGAATTTGGAAAACACTCCTCAACCTTAGAGTTAAGCCAACACCTAGAAAAATCACCAGCTTCCCAGTGAGCCTGCAGACACAAAAAAACAGAATGACCTATAGGAGATAACTCTGAAATACTCCCCACAATTTCTTAATTTGGTACATAATGTGGGACTGAGTCAAGATAAGATCTGTCTCAACACAAGAAAGAAAAAGTGTTTACCATGTGCACTGGGGGCCCTTGTTTTATATGTCAAGAAATTTCATACACTCTGTTTGAAGGTTGAGTCAATCCTTGGTCTGTAACCAAAACCCATCCCCCAAAGCACTGCACCTACCGGTAGAAAGTGGCATAGTCCACAGTTGAGTGGCAGGTCTGAAACTCCCAGGATTTGAGTTTCTGGCATTCTCGATGAGCTCGGAGCTTTACCTTCACTGTCCCTTGACACAGTTCAGGCACTGGTTTTCTCTGAGGTCTGTTGCAGAACTCATTGGACTCTACCCTCCAGGACTCAGCAAAGTCATCCACATCAAACTTGAAGTTTCCATCTCCACCAATTAAGTCATCACGCTTATGTCCATTGTAGTTGCCACAAAGACCACAGAGTTTGCCCTTGAGATGGGGGGCAGCCATTACTTCAACAAAACTGTCTCCATCCCAGGATATTTCCAAACCTAGAAGAAAAGGAGAGGAAAAGAGGATCAACCACTCTTAAATCCACCAATAATTCCCAAGTGCATGTATCCTTACATAGAACATATGACTAACCTCTAACAAGGAACACTAAGGGTCTATCCAAATTCTTGGTTACCATATTAAATGTTATATTACAGTACGTGAAACACTTTTGGGGGCTCAGAATTTTTAAATTGTATAAAGTTTGTCCTTATATGGTACCTTAAGTACCCTGGTTTGACTTGTAGAGGACCACTCATTGACCATGTTCCTCTTAGGTTTATAGTTTTGCCCTTTTCCATAGTAATTGTGTTGGTCCATCTTGTGCTTTCATTTACCCAATGATAAGTGAAATGTGGAAATGGAAAGATAACAAAGATGATAATTTTTAATGTAATTTTTTCTTTATCCAAAAATTCCCCCATGTAATTATACTAAATGTCAAATGAAAATATCTAAATTATTTGTTATAGTGAAACTATTAAAGTAATAAATATATAGCTTCTGAATAGATCCTCTTCAAAGGAAAACACTCATATGGAAATGTCTGAAATGAAAACGTTTGCCTCCTCATCGTTTTACAGACATCCCTGAGACAAGGATGGTTGTTTAATCAATGTTTCCTAGGGTAGAGTTGTTGTGGAACACTTCCAATCTTCACAGCCCTGAGCTTATCATAAACTTCAACATTTGAGGAGGTACTGGAGACTACCAGGCCATGGAGAAAAGTTCCTCATGTGCTAGAAAGAATCAGCAGGACAGAACAAACTTGTTCACCAAGGAAATAATCTTTGCTCCAGAAGGTAGAGAACAGAGGCTCCTCTTGGTTTGCTGAACACTGACCATCTAATATGCTAGAGGTTTTGTCTATAAACATTCATGTTTTTTTCAGATATGTGGCCCAAGACTTCAAGATCCATCAGTCTATGACCCCACTGAATAGTGCCATTTTTATGTCACTTATAGACAGCTAGGTTATGCTGTCACACATCAAAGATCAGTCTGACTAGAAGGTCACATCAAAGATCAGTCTGACTGGTCAAGACTGATAGAAGGTCAAGAAGAAATGTTCTCATATAATCCTGATATTGTGTGTGAAGACGCTGTCCATTAGATAAAGCCTAATCAAGCTCAATCCAGAGCAAATGACACACTCTCCTGGTCAGAGCTTTTCTTTATGTCTCAAATGTGTGTTGGAAACTTTTCTTACTGTTTCCCTGATAATACCCTCACAGTGCCTGAGTCTCCCAGAGAATGGATGAAGTAGGTACCAGTTCGGTGACACGAACACCAAGAGAACATCTACAACAAGTTGGTATGCGTTTCTGCCCTGGTACTTCTCCTTATTCACTGTCACTGTTTCCTAAGAGTGACAACCCAAAGAAAAAGTCCCTTTTTTTTAGCAAAAAAAGAGAAAGTTTTCCCGTATGTGTTTTTAAATCTTACCCTCTTGGGTTTCTAACAAAATCTAGTCTTTCATTTAGCCTGTTCTGAGCCTCTGGAAAGAGCAACATGACTTTCCTCCCAGAAGACTTTGCAAGATTAGGCTGGTGAGAAAATGTTCAGAAGATGCTCAGAAGTTGGGGGATGAGGCAGTAATGGGAAAGAAGAAAGGGGCGGCAAAGGAGGGAATGGATCTTGTCTGGATATAAAATTGGCATAAGACGAAATCAGAGTGATGTAAGATTAGTAAGAAATGCCCAGAAGTAGGATTCTAAAGCCAATACTCCTTAAGTCTGAACATTATCCAAGAGGAGAGAAGGCTAGCCAAATAGCATTACTGTGAGTAGGCCACACAACTTCCACAAGAAAGAGTTACAAATCCACTTTAGGGAGTTACTGATAGAATAAACCAGTGGTCTAAAACTGGGTTTCTCGAGAAATAAACAGAAAGGCCCATAAGGAAATCACTGTATGGTAAATGAAAGGAATGGAACCATTCTTAGTCCAAGGCAAATGGTAGAGAAGGAGCTGGATTCAGAAAAGAACTAGAGTTGGGTAAAGAAGCAAGGAAGAAGGTCATAAGAAAATCTCTCTTAGAGGGAGGTAAACCAAGAAACAGACTCTTAACTGTAGAGAACAAACTGATGGTTACCAGAAGGTAGGGGGTGGGGGGAAGGAGTTTAAATGGGTGGTGGGGATTAAGGAGGGCACCTGTGATGAGCCCTGAGTGTTGTAAGTGATGAATCACTAAATATTACAACAGAAACTAACAATACACTGTATGTCAACAACTGGAATTTAAATAAAAATTTGTAAAGAAAAAAAAAGTCTCTCTTAGGAGTATTTTGGTGAAGAGAGTAGAGCAATGGGGCAAGGTGATCAGAGAAAGGACACGCTGAGAATATTCACACACTGGACTGACTTCCTCGATGGATCTCTGTGAGACAATGGTGTCACCTCCAACAACCACAACTCTCCTATAAAGAGATTTATATTTCTTCATACCCCACCATCTAACACGTTATCTGGCACATAGTATATACTCACTAAATGAATGAATTACCCTGTAAACTGATACACTGAATCTGGAAAGCCAAAGAAATTGTGAATTTCATGCTAGTTAAGACACTGAAATAACAATTTTGAAAAAAGACAAGCAAACTATAATATGATTTGTAAGACACTCTCTAAGGTATAGAAGAAACATGACCTCAGAAGCCTGTAGCCAGGCAGCTGCCCAGCAAGAGAAACAAGGGAAGAAAATCAATTCCGTATATAACATTCTAACTTTTAGAGCATACTTCCAAAGACTTTCCATGTTGCAAAATTTTCCAAACTGCAAATCTCTTTCCTAGACAGTAGGCAAATACTATTCTTCCAAATGCCACAGTGGTTGAGAATTTATATCCAAAGGAGTTCCAACATCATTACTGACAATGATATAACAAATTTGAGACTTTGGGCAACTGAATTCATTGGAAATCAACTCACAGTGAACAAGCCAATCATTATGTTCTTTTCATGCAATGGACTGGTGGTCCATGCAGGTTTGGGAAGATGCAGACCCACTGTTTTTAGTAAACTCTTCTCAAAACTCTTGACCTCTCAGTCATAAAACAAAACAAAACCAAACAAAGCATGGCCCCCACAGTAAGGGAATAATTTGTAATTCACTCTCTTTTCCTCCTCTTTTCTTTGTTATTAAGAGGATTTTCAATGGACCAATTCTAAGTTTCATACTGCATAGGGATGACTTACACAACCATAGATGCCTTTGTCTATCGCTGTATCATATACATCTGCGTTTGCATGATTGTCATTACCCTCTACGTAATTAAAATCCATGCAAAGTAAATTACAATAGTGACAGGCAAAATAATGAATAAGTTGTAATTGAAAAAACTGCTCTTCCAAAAGATATTTTAAATAGGCATTTATGAGATGAAAACCTTGCGGTAGGGGTTGGGGCTAGTCCTTTCTACAGCTGGGATGAGTTTCCCCATTCCTCTGCATGGGAAATTAGGTAGAAGTAATTGGCAGAGTCAGGAGGCCAAAGCCAAGGCACACGTCCCATCTGGTGGTGTAAGCAGTAGCCACATTCTCTCTGCTGCCTGAAGCACCTTCCAATTATCCCTTTTCACCAGTGAATGTTTTACCAACTTGTTTTTTACCCTTCAATTGTGTAGCCAGGCTCCAGACCACTAGGGGGTTTTTTTGTTTTGTTTTGGCGGGGGAGGGAAGTTGTTTCTCTTTTGTTGTTGTTTTTGTTTTGCTTTGTTTTGTTTTTTTGTTGTTGTTGCTGTCATTGTTGCCTTTGCTGTTGTTTACTCAAAGGACAGAGGAGGTACAAAATCTATATACATACCATAGTGATGCTTAAAAATTGATGGGTTTTCTGTTCAGATTTTATACCAAAGGAAAAAAGAATAAGAAAAAATATATGTAGTCTCCAGGTTCATAAAGTATAGAACTCTACCAAAAGTAAAATAAAAAACCACACTCCCACGTGCTAATGCCTTCGGGTGGATCTGACGTAACTCTCTCAGGTAGAGTTGATGAAGTGAACAGATGGCAGAAAGGAAATATTTCTAAATTATTCACTAAGTGCCAAGAGTTGGGGTAGGAGTGTGATGGGGGTGAGCAGTGCTTTTTCGAGCTACTAAGCCTGCTCCGTGCCCTCTGTACCACCCCGGTTGTTATTAGGTAAGCAACTACAGCCTAATCCCACCACGCGGCACGGCCACCTGCACTCTTCTGCCAAATGACTCCGTCATGAAGTGCTGAGTTCATAAACCACAGGGACAAAGAGTCATTCCTCCCCTTTTCCCATTCGCCAGCTGCAGGCTTGATTTAAGCTGTTATTTTGAAGAAAGGACGCTCTGATCATATGAGTTTATGAAATTAAAAAAATAATCTATGGGAGAAGAACACTCCAAGGATATATTGTGATATTTTAAATGGACAGTCAATAAGTGATAAAAAGAAAACATTCCTCAGGGGTAGTACAAACTGAGATTGGTTTGGGGAGAAGACTTGTGTCTGGAAATGGAATTGTTCCGTTCCAAGGATAATCTCAACGCAAGTTTAGAGCCCAGAGGAATACAGTTCTTCCCTAGGAAGCAGAAAGTTTATGCTACGGGAAATTGTTCAGCTGGGTATTACAGGCATCACATAACTTACCTGCACCGTGGAAAAAAGGAAATTGTAAAATCAAGTTCAAGGCCGAGAAGAGTTAAATTCACTAATCTAATTATGGTGTTTATGATCTAGTATTATTTTCTTAGCAGTCTCAACCTTTCACTCATTTTTACAATGTGGAATCCTGACAAGAGGACACTTATTCCATAAGGTATTGCCAGCCATGGGCAGAACAGTATTGAAGCTCCTAGACTGTTAGCAATCTTTCAGGATCCAGGATCCCTTTGGGAATTGGGCTGTGGTTGACCAATAATTTCCCTATCAGGAGAATCCATTGTGTTCAGCTGGCATGCAAACAGATCAGCAAGGTGCTTCTAATTAGTGCTCTGTAATAATGAGTCATCTTGTGCACAATTTACGGGGAGCCACGAACTGCTGCTTTCTTTAAAGAAATGAGCTGAGGCCTATATCTACAGAGTGACAAGTCATTTGAATAAAACAACAGGTGTCTGAATTTTCTGAAGAGGACTAATCTCTCTAAAATTGAATAAATAGAGCTCTTCACACCTGCCACTTTCAAAGTGAAGTTGGGAGTCCTCCCTTTATAGAATGCTCCAGTACATTAATATTTAACTTTTTCTCACTGAAACCACGTTATGCTCTCTAAATAAAAGCTCCCCAGGCTTCGCCTTGGCTTCCTGCCTTTGTTTAGCTAAGCTGGCATTCCATAAACTTGGATCAATTTGTCAAATATATTTTGGCTTGAACTGAAACAATTAACAGCATTCTGAAGGTGCAGCAGAGAACAGTCTCTACTGTTCCTCAAAAGTGCCTGCTCTATCAAATCTTTCCCTTTTGGATCCTTATTATCTAAAGGAACTGGAATGTATTTGATGCTTTTACGCTGTTACATTTTCATCGATATAAAAAGCAAGAAATATGTTGATTTCCTCAAGTATCATGCTGACAGAAATAGCACACACCAGGAGAACGTGCGGTTCAATATCAAATTGACAAACAATATGGATTAACCAAAGGCAGCGTGGAAGGAGACAGACATGATATAATTGAATGTGTAAGTGGGCTGAATTCATTCTTTGGGGCTGATTTTGAAGGGCAGACGTCCGCTTCTAAGAAGCCTCTTTAGGTAGTACCCCACAGGCAAGAATGCGAGTTTTCATTGGGCCCCTGGCAGTAACCTGCTAGCACCTACGAACAGCTTGGCCTCGGGGGGATGTGTCTGTCCGTGGAGTGGAAATACAGAGTCCAGTAGGCCACAGGCAATAGGGGATGCTGAGCAAGGGTAGCAGCAAGCATCTCCACATACCCAAGGCTGGGGGAAAGCGCTCTCAGAGCGCTCTAAGCATCCTCCAGCGGGGCTACTGGTTCTAGACCTCCACTAACTCAGCGAGCACCTTCCCCAGGGTCAAGAATGGACAGGACTGCTGGTCACACAGCCGTGCATACTCCCATCTGCACACCCACACATTTGTGGTTTACTTTTGAGGATTCCCCCCTTCTTGGACAGATGCTAACAAGAAAACACTCTTTCTCACAGATGTGAAACTGCACATTACTGGCTGAGCTGGGCGAAACACTGACAATTCCAAGCTGGACATAAAGGGCCTAACATTGTGACAAAACATGAGAAAGAGGTTATTTGGAGAGCAGAAATGCTATTTTTGGACCGAGGATGTCAGAAGATTGCAAGACTGGTGGGACCGGCACTGGGCTGCAAGGCTTCACGGTGTGCAAATTTCTCCCACTCTTTTGTGCCATCTTGGAGGTGTCCCTTTGGAGCCCCGGTGAGCGGGGATGAGGTCACGCCTGCGGTCGGAACCCTCGTCTGCCTCCAGATTGTCCTCCACGGAAGAGGCAGAGCGCTGAGGCGGTGCCGCTGTGCTGTGCGGGTTGGTGAGGCAGAGGGGCGAGCCAGGGGGACACAGAAGCCCACCTGCTTTGGTCGTCACTTTTAAGAGGTAGCCATCCAGGTCGATGTGGAACTGCGGCGCCTGGCAGGGCAGCGCGATGCGCGAGCCGTTCCAGCGCACGGTCAGGTGCTGCTGGAGGCTGACGGTGCTGGCGCCCAGCACCAGGTCCACCGACTTGGTCCAGGAGAAGGAGCGGGTCCTGCGTGCGTCGTTCTTCACCAGCACCTGGAAGGGCGAGGCAGGGGAGGAGCAGTCTTTTGTCAAAACGTACTGACACGTCCCCTGAAAGTTAAATGTCCGTCCGTCAAAAGTGTTGTAGTGGGGATCTCCGAATACCGTGCAAACGCCGGGCTCTGCGGATGAGTGAGAGACAAAAGCAGGTCATAAACTGAGCGAAGGATTCAAAGAGAAATCAGGGGTCCCTGCAATATTAACCTGGAGGGGGGCACCCACCAGGTATGGGAGGGCCTTAGCAGAGACGCACTAGTGGAAATCAACTTGAAAAAAAAAAGAAAAGGTCGGTTGTTTTAAAAGTCTGTGCCAAACGTCCTAGGACGTGCAATATGTTGGGTGCTTTTGCACTTAAAAGTTATTGATAACACTTCCAAAGTTTTAAACCATCTCGATTTTGGAGGCTTGATATGCTTCTATGGTCTTAATATAAGGGATAAAGAAATGAAACTAAGATAATTTTGTAAACAGAACTGCCCTTAATAAACAAAAACCAGAAATGAATAAAAGGCAGCAAAGTAAATGACAATACAGCAAAGCAATAGTATTATTACCATTTAACTGATTCAAAAAATGTGGAAATATGGTATTCTAAATGTTACTTACTTTTTTTTAAGGTATTATATTCAACACCATGTATTTACTAAGGACAAATCAATAGAATCGCTAAACAGACACATGTTTAATAGCATTAGGAAACAAAGTACTGTTAAAATTAATAGTCTCTATGTTTTTTACAAATACAAGGTTCCTATATTTTGATCTGTGTATCAAAATCTAAAATTGGATAAAAATAAATTGAATGTGTAAATGAGCTGAATTCATTCTTTGGGGCTGATATTTAATAATTATTTAATAAATCATTTAATAAATTTAAGAAATTCCAAGGCATTCATCACTTCAAAATACCATTCATTCAAATATTTGTGAAACCCAGGTAAAGTTTGACACTGGGGGCATCTCAAAGATTGTTATAGAAAATTAAATTTTGTTTCTTTTTTTAAAATGATATTTGGCATTGATTTGTTCTCCATGTAAAGATATTTTATCTGTTTTCAGGGAGGCATGGACAACCAGGAAATGAGGAATTCATTTAGATAAAGGAGCCCACATGATAAAAGAACTATAATAAAAAGATCAATTTCCAGTCAACACCAGCACAGGTTCAGAATATGAAACTATCCTATCAGCAACTGCTCTCAATATGTCAGAGAAGAGTTAAAAGTCAACACAGAGGAAGGATGTGCCAACTGATCTGATAGGACCAATGGGATCCAAGGCAAACGTGTGCTTTTAATTTCTAAAGTGTTTGGAGAATAATGTTGTTTTATGTTATGATACATTATGTCATTTCATATGTCAATTACATTTGACTCCATATAAATCACATGTATTTGGAATTTGGTAAATTATTTGTTCTAAACTTTCCTTGTCAATATCTGATAGAGACCCAAAAAGATATAGTTTTTGGTGTGTAGGACAGTTTCAATGAACAAATGCTTTAAGGAATATATAAAAAGCACTACTTGAGGTAAGAGGGTGGAAGAAGTGGGTGGGGGAGAGAAGCTCTGAGAGCTCAGCAACAAAGTTTTAATTTGCCCTCCATTTCTATTCCCTTCTTGTCCTTTTCTTGAACGTTTTTTCCTTGTGATTCCAACTTTACTCAGTTTGTTGCTTCACATTGGACCCCACCTCCACCTGCCCAATCGTATATCCACCCCCAACTAGTCTTCCCATCTATCTAACCACCCCATAACGCATGTTCCAGTCCTTTCTCCATGCAATTGCTTTCAAAATTGCCCTATCACATATTTCCCTCACAGTCTGACAAAAGGAATCTTTCCCTGGCATGAAAATGGTGTTTCTTGGTTGACAAGGGGCAAGGCGGTTCTTTGGGACACCCCGAGTGGCATCAGGAAAATTATAGTTCTGAGTTAATGTTGTCATGTGCCACAAAAAGACTGTTAACGTGACCACCAGATGCACCAAATTCAAGAGAAGGGATTTTTTCAAGTTCTTAACTCTGCATAGTCAAGAAAACCCAGAACAAATCAAGGCTTTTGAGCTTTGAACTTGAAACAGATGGAGCTCAGGCTGCAAAGGCCAAAACCCTAATGAAGGAGCTGAGATATTCCTGAAGAAATCCTCTCTCAGCTGGGAGCAGCACAGGGAAAACACCTTCTGCCCAGAGTCTGAAGTGGCAATCTTCTCCTTGCTCCAGGGATAATCCATGGCTTCTCCTGGTTTTCTGACAACAACTGCATCCAAATTATCATTACCAAAACCAGTAATAGCTAGCACTTACCGAGAATTCACTACCTCCCCTAGTACTGTTCTCCATGCCTACAGATCCATAAGAAAATGGATATTTAGATTGTCTCCTAAAATTAAACAAATAGCTAAGCACTTGGTAGTAAATCCATAAAGTGAACTATTACCTAGCCATTGAAAAATTGTATGAATAACGTTTGTGATTGAGGAAACGCTTATGACATGTTAAGTGAAAAACAGGAAACAAAATTCTGCCTTCAGGATAACCTTCTTTAAAAGATTTATTTACTTATTTTAGAGAGAGAGAGAGCATGGAGGAAGAGGGAGAGAGAGAGAATCTCTCGCAGACTCCCCGCTGAGCACGGAGCCTGACACAGGACTCGATCCCACGACTCCGAGATCGCGACCTGAGCCAAAACCGAGAGTGAGACACTCAACCAACTGAGCCACCCAGGCACTCCTGTCTATAGGATAATCCTAACTGTGTTAAAATAAATACACAAATACACACCCCAAAATTGTCAATTTCTTGGTGGCAGGACCACAAGTGATTCTTTTTCTTCCTTTTGCTTTTCTGTTGTTTTTGTTGTTGTTAATAGTTTTGTTTTTAAGAGTCAAAATGTGGGCAACTGTAGATAAGGCCAATTATATGACCAAGCAAATCCTCAAAGAAGCAACAGAAAATATACTGCCTACAGTGGCCCTAGGGAAGACTGAGCTTACTCACAGGGGGGCAGAAAGCAATGAAGGACATCCCAGGGAGACCAGGCAAGGAAATCACATGTAACAGGGCTGTCAGGGAAGATATTTTTCAAGAGGCCCTAACTTGTAGAAGAGAGGGGTTTGGAGATCAGAATGATTTTTCTCTGTAACAACAAGATAGAAGAGGCCAACAAAATTCCATGACTAGGAAGATGCTTGAGAATTATGTGTTACCTCTGGGGACATTGGTATGATGAGCTAAAATAATTTTGAAACCTTGGCCCTTTTTCCTGGCACCTCTAGGTCCCTGTGCCAGATCCTGCAGGAGCAGTGAACACATGCACTGGAGAATGGCTTGAAGTGAGAATCGCAGGGTCACACAAATCGGCCTAGCTGGAAAGGAAAAGAGCTAGAGAAACACTTAAGGGACACAAATGAATGTTGTAAGCTCACATATTTGTATGTGTGTGTGTGTGTGTGTGTGTATTTTTTTTTCCAGCAGACCCAGTGAAATGAGCTACAGTCCAGAATGTGCAGATGTCCGGTCACACTCTTCTGGAAAGCTTGGAATGATAGTCGGAACTAGACAAACGGACCATTCTATAACTAAGTTTGTTTGAGTATGTGTCAGTCAGGGGAAAGAGAGAAAAATTCCAATTTACAAGTAGTGGTATGTTTTTTCATAGTCCTTTAAATCAAATCATCAAATGCCATTTTTGTTTTGGTTTGTTTTCCTTATATGTACACAATGTCAAGCATAAAAACACTAGAAGTATATAAACCCAAATATTAAGAGTAGTACTTTTTTTCTCTTAAGTAATGGAATTTTGTGTGACATGTATTTTCCTCTTTCTTGTTTATGTGTATTTACATTATTATTTACATTACATTTCATTATTTACAGTGACTAGGTATACTTTTAGAATACGAATATTGTCTTAAAAATGAAAAATACTGGATTAAAACATGGTGCTTTGATGTTACATACTTTAATAAGATCGCTATGAGGATTAAGAGAGTTAGGAGGCTTCTAAAAACATAATTCCAATATTTTTCTCCTAACCTCATCAGGTACATGTATTTCTGCCACAAGTATATTTATTCTAATGAATTGCCTTCCTTCTGAGAGCAGTGATTATTCCCAAAACATCCATCAAAGAGAATTAAGGGGAAATTATACAACTCCATGTTATAAAGAAAATAACAGAAATCGAACAGACTCCAAACACTCACCCCCAAAACACAACCAAACAAAAACAGAAGAAAACAAGTATCATTCATGGTTCTGTGACCAAGAAATAACCACTGTTTACAGTTTGGAAGCTGGGTGTGTGCATGTGCATGTGTGTGTGTGTGCATGTGTGTGCTTGTATGTGCATGTGTGTGTGTGTTAACATAGTTCAGATTATCCTATACATGAAATTTTATTTCCTCTTCACTTAACATGTCATAAGATATCCCCCATCATTAAAGTCACTTTGAAAACATAGAAAATGACTTTCATTCTCAGTCTTTTACTTCTGCAAAGAGGACCGTCTCTCCTACTCACAGTATGACAGCACCACACAGATCAGCACATGTCCAGAAATGTTGTAACCACGAGAAAATCTCTCAAATAAAAAACACAGCTTTAAACTTTTCTCAACACAAATTGCAGGAATACAGGTCCTCTGGGACTTGGGGTCACCGAGTCATGCAGGAACCCCAGGTGGGTAAGATGTGTGATGATGTGCCAAGTTTGAGTCAAGAACCAGGAAAGGCTGGGATTAGACACACTGCCCTTAACACAAGCCCTTATGCTGCTCCCGCACATGACGTAAGCCTCTGACATAAAGAGGCTGTGAGTGCCCTAGCAGGGACTGAACTTCTCCCCACAGGAGGCTCTGGCCACACACAAAGGTGTCCCTGACTGCTATCGCCCCACAGGACCTGAGGGCTAAGAGATGCTCCACGAAGTGACACCTGGATTCCTTGAAGATTTTGCATCTTTGTCTTCTGAAGTAAAAACTTAATCTAACTTTACTGTGTGAATGGGCGGGGTGGGGGGGGCGGACAGGAAGGGGGTAGTGGGTCTCTTCCCACCAATCTATAATTCACCAGATAGACTTACAAATCTACATATGAAAAACTCATTTTTAAAAAGTTGAGT